CCACGGCCAAAACCGGGTGAGTTCATGCGGCCTCGTCCTCGCCTATGCCATGATCTCGTCCTTGACCCTTACCACGGTTGTTACCTGGTTGGTATGGACGAGATTACCATGTAGAAACTGATTTGGTCATCTAATGGTCGAGTAAGACGGCTTGTTCGTGCCGCCTCGGCCACGGCCAGTGCCTTGGCCTCTCCCACGGCCGTAGCTGGAACCTCGACCACGGTTATTGTGGTTTCCAGACCTACGGTCGTATGAGTTGTGTCACGACCATTACACCCATGGTCTCCACCACAGCCCTTGCCATGTGGTCTCCTATCATTATGGGCGAAATCATTTTCTTTGGGAACATCATGTTCAACCTTATTTGATTCCGGTACTTGCTGCTGATCCTGCAGGTCTCAACGCATTGTTCCTCATCAGGAACTCATTATTTGTCTCAGCCAAGAATAGGGCCGAGATCAGGTCAGTATATAAGGGGAACTCGTCCACAGACTTGAAGTCCATGAATCTCAGGTTCTTCCATTCCTCATGAGCCTTTGGAAGCAACACCGTTTTATGGTGGTTATAAAATCGTTGTAAAGCGGTCCAAAGCTCTAATGGATCTACCATAGTGAGATACTGATTCTTTTCAGTCTCATTGTTGCCTTTGGTGATAGTGTCACCAAGCCCCTTAGACCTCAAATTGATCTTAGTATCAAGAGCCCACTGCAGGTAATTATCTCCTTAGAGATTGAGAGCTGTGTAGTCAAGGTTTGCAAGTTTCAACATCAGAATCACATAACCACACAAATAGGGTTTTACACACATTGTGATTCTCTTGACTACATTACAACCACAAACTAAATCATACTCGTAACTACAATGACCACGGTGTGGACAAACAAAAGACACACTCTCTATGGTCACCCAAAACTCATATGGCTCAGTTTTGATCGGAATGGGTGAGAATGACATAATTGAATCTACATGCTGGTCGGTTTTATTAAAACAATATAAATGTAGTAAAATTCATTCAACCATGCAATGCAATTCTATTCAACAATCTTAATTCAATTCTGATCAGTTTTTTAAATCACAAAACGAACTAGGGTTTCAAGGCCCTTATGGTCGGATCTAAACATCAATTAAAACTTATCCAACCTTATCAATTCTTAAAATCAAATTAAAACTTTTCATCAATTCTCCCCCTTGATTTTATTAACTGTGGTAGTTAGGGTTTCAAGGCCCTTTGGATATTCAATTTCAATCTTAAAACCTCAGATCATCAATCATTGAATCAAACAAGAACAATCAAACAAACAAACATGTTTAAAGATTAGGGTTTAGGGTTCTTCATACAACCAAATTTTAAATCCTATCATCCGGTTCTAAGTTCTCAAACAATCAATCAATCTATCAGATATCCTATCATAGATCTATTGATTCCATACCTATTGGTTTCTATTAATTAGGGTTTATAGATATACCATTGTTTGAAGATATTAGGAACCGGACCACCTTTAGAGAGAGGAGCCGCCGCGGGTGAGACGGCTAGGGTTTCTCCAGCTTTAGACCTGTTAGGGATTTCACATACAAAAGGGAAAGTTATTTAGGGTTTTATTAGCCAAAAGGAAAGTAAAAATCAAGTAAAAGGAAGGAGTTAGGCGGCTGGTTTGGTTGCTCGGAGAAAAGGAAAATCGCTAGGGATTTCCGGAAGGGAAAAAGAAAATTTGGTCCGCCGGATTGATTCGGTTCCTGAGGGCGCGTCCGATGTCGGATTGACACGCTGTTTGAACTGATGGATTCGTCTGGGACCACGTGGTTTGAGAGATACATCGATTTGAAGTTGAGCCGGTATTAGGGTTTCTCGGGTAGGAGAAAAGGAAATTCATCCGCCGGCTTGTTTCTGAGCTAGAGGACGCGTCTGGTATCGGATTGAGACGCTCTTTGAACTGGTAGCTTCTTCTCGTCGAGAGCTTAAATTTGATATGTGACTCGTCGTCTGGGTACACATGGTTTGGGAGATACGTCGCTTTGAATTAGGGTTTTGCTGCTGCCGCCTAGAGAGAGAGAGATACGGTTTTTGGTGGTTGGTTTCTTAGCTCTGGTGAGACTCGTGCTGATAACGTGTTGTAAAGAAAGAGAGATGAGGGGAATGATTTCTGTATATAATTACTGAATGAATAAGGTTCCTTTATATAAGGATTACAAGAAGAAGATAAATGGAAAACATTCAATTCCTAAAGCAACAAGGAATTGGAAATACATAAGAATGGAAACTACATATGGCCGCCTATGGCTAAGTCATTGGGCCTCTATCTTCTTGGTCTTGAGTAACCTAGGCACGTGGGCCTTAAGGTCTATGGTTATGGCCCATCCACATAATACTTTATAACATTAAGTGTGTTATAGTAAAAACATTCTAAACTCTGATTACACTTGCGTGTTCGAGTCTTTAAGTCGGATTCAATTGATTCCTTTTGGATTTAGATCATTTGGTTCCTAAAAATTTGGACCCAATGTTGTATTTAAAAAGTTTGGTTCGAGTTGGGATTGATTTTTTTATATCTAAATTAGTTTGGATCTATAATGTCAAATTTTTGGATCTTTATCTGTAGTTTTTGGATCTATATCAGATTCAGATCCGGTATTTATGATCCAAAACAACCTAAAAATAATTAAAATCCATCAATATTTAGCTGAAATCTACCATATTTTTATGTACAATTTTGAAAAATAACCAAATAAGCTTTTAATAATTGAAATTAAACATTTCTAACTCTAAATTTGACCTTTAAAGTTTATATTACTTGTAAATGTAATAAAAATAACAATAAGATTGGTAACAAAAAGACATTTCAATTAAATCATAAACTAAAATAAAGAAAATAGAAAACATGGAATCATAATTGTGGATATTCATGTTTTTAGGTCGGTATGAATCAATTTTTACCAGGTCGGACTTATTCAAATTGGTTCTTTTCAGTTTCAGATCTATCAGTTTGGTTCTTTTTGATTATGGTTCTTTCGGATAGAGCAAGTCTTGCTCTAATTAGGTACTTATAAATTTTTAATTTAGTTTAGGAATGGATATATATGGGTAAGTTATTGTTAGAATTTTTGAGTCCGGTTAAAATTGCTAAGCCGAACTTGAATTAGTTCTATGAGGCTTTGTGGGAATATATAAAAATAAATTTAATAAGATTTTCAATATTTAAATGTTAAATATTTATTATCAATGCCGTTAAAATGGGAGCATTCTCTTGGATGAAATATTTACGTTTTCTAAAATACCCTTAATGGTATAAACATATTAAAATTTTCATTAATGGCATTATTGTATTTTGTTTTTTTGCCTAAAATTATATAATTAAGTACAATCAATATCTATTTAATGGGTTTGATTAATGGGCTAATTCTTTTTTCAAAATATTTTTGAATATTCTTGTAAAAATACTGGAGTGGAAAATAAATATGACTATATAAATCATTAATGATTTCAAATGTATGCATAAAACATTTTTAATCTATACTATTAAGTTTTGACTCATAGCAATAATTTTATCATCGTAAGTTATAAATAATAAAAGGCAAGAAATCATTATTAAGAATATGCTATTATTTTCACATATTTGTCTTTCCAGATTAAAAATAATGTAGATTAAAAATAATAAAACATTTGTCTCAAAATGTTTTTTAAAGATTTTTAGAATAAATACTATTAATAAAAAAATTTAAACTAATTTATAATAATGTGTTCTATATTTATGTAGTTTGATAGTTAATATACTTACAAATAAATTTAATAATATTTTTTTAATAGTGTAGATACCTGATCTTAATCTTCGAATAGATTTCGACATATTACAAATAACGCAAATTCGTGATCAAATGTTATATACAAAAATATTTATTGATTTATCACTAAATAGATCAATAAGTCTCACTCGGATATAAAAATTCAACGAAAACATTGTACAAAACTGAAAGAATAATAACAAAACAGCTCTTAAATATTATAGATATATAATAATAGTTATAAATACATTTAATATTTGACTTTACGGTCACTAAAAAAGTATATGTGCTTTTTAAAATTTTCTTCATACCCGCATAATTGAAATTTGATTTTGATCATGTAATATTTTATATCATCAAAACAAAAATACTTTTATTTATTTGTAGATAAAACAGTAAAAATAGTATGGGGAAACTGTTTTTTTAGACCAAATAGGTTTGGACATTGTCCCTTTTGTCTAAATTATATTTTGTACCAATTTTGACTCTAATGCCCTTTATTTATTTCTGAAATTAATTAAAATAATAGATTTATGAAGCAAATTGTTTTTTAAAAATAGTACATAATGATGAAACCCCTATATCTATATAGTGATATTTTTTCCTGTTTTAAAAATGTGTAATAATTTCATATATTATTCTACCGAAATTAGAATCCGTATATTACGAATTAGAATACGAAATCCACTTTTTTCACTATTTCTACGAACTGCAGAATATGTTTTCTACGGAGATAACACGAATCTAAAATAGTTTAGAATACACATTCCACACTTATCATAGAGTTCTAATAAAATTAGAAATTGAAATCTAAACATTTACTTGAATCTAAAACCAGTAGAAATCGGAATCTACATTCTCACAACGTTCTAATACATGTAAGAACTGATTTCATATCTTTTTACACAGTTCTACCTTTAGTAGAATCTGAATTCTACGGATAAATATCATTAGATCCGAAAATATAGCAAGAATACATTAGGAAATATTTGGTTTCCATATTTAAAATTCAATTTTTTTTAGAGTTCAGATGGTTTAGAGAGGAGAAAGGACTAAATATTTATGTGGAACCACGAGTGAAATCAGAACTTTTATTGGATTCAAGTTCCTTTGACTTTGTACAAACTTGGGGAGATGGTATGATAATGATATTCTACATTCAATATTTTTAATGTCTGATGTATATGAAAAGCTTCATTGATCATTTGTTTATGCCGACAAAGAAAATTCACTTCTATACCCAAAGGTTGACCTTGTTATAACTCTTGGTGGGGATGGTACTGCTCTATGGGTAATGTCAATCTCACTCATATGTGTCCTGTTTTTTTTTGTGTACAAACACACACAGAGACACAATCTAACACTAAACATCTTACAGGCAGCGTCGAGGTTTAAAGGACCAGTGCCTCCAATAGTTCCATTTTCCATGGGATCTCTGGGATTCATGACTCCTTTCCGTATCCTTCATCTTTCTTTTAACAGTTTCTTTATAAAGTAGCTTCAGTTAAATGTTGCAGCATCAATTTATGTGTCACTAGAAACTTTTTTCTTTAAGTCTTAATGATCCCAGACAGTGAAGAATACAAAATATGTTTTGGAAAGGTTTTGAGCGGTCCAGTCAGTTTAACACTACGACACAGGTTGCAGTGTCACAAACCTTGAATGCTTGTGCGATGATATATTTGTCACACGTGTCCAAGGTGATGGACTAATATTATCTACATCTGGTAGCACCGCCTATTCACTTGCAGCTGGAGGGTCAATGGTACATCCACAGGTAATAATATGATCTTCATCTCCACAACAGCCCTGTGCTTTAGATCAAAGACAATTGGTTCTAAACTTACAATGTTTTGCAGGTTCCTGGGATCTTTTTCACACCTATCTGTCCTCATTCTGTCTTTCCGCCCACTGATATTACCGGACCACGTGACATTGAAAGTGAAAGTGCCACTGGACAGCAGAAGCTCTGCGTGGGTGTCTTTTGATGGGAAAGGCCGGAAAGAACTTAAAGCAGGGGATACACTTGTGTGTAGCATGTCACAGTGGCCTGTCTCAACGGCTTGCCAAGTCGAATCCGCTAGTGACTTCCTAAGAAGCATCCACGATGGTCTTCACTGGAACCTAAGAAAGACTCAGAATTCTGACGGCCCTCGTGAAACTTGAACAAATACATCCAGGACTTTGCTTTTCAAACCTTATATACACATTCCTCACATCTATTTATTTATCTATCTGCTTGTATCCATTGTTGGTTGTAATGAAATTTATTGTATCTGTTGTGAGCAATGATTCTGTTAATGTAATGATCAATCAAAGTTATTGAATCAAAGATGTATGTTCCCTCTTACTCTTTCTCTAAACTGCTTAAAATTGTCTTAATAACTGCTTCAACGCTAAATTTAAGATCCTGACTACATAAATTCCTAGTGTGTAGAATCCAACTTGATTCAGCACAGAGCTGTGTTGTGGTAGAGAAGAACACATCATTACCTGCAACCAAAACATTCAAATTAAAAATTATTCAAAGTCTCAGCTTGTTCCAATTTTTTTTTATGTTGCATACATAGAGATTAGTAGACTTACTCGGTCAATAATATGCATCGACATCATCATCATCACCATTTATGATTTCATCGATTTCATGATCGCCTACTGCTCTGCTTTTCTCTCGTACCATTCTTCCTGAAGGTTTTGATGACTTTGCTTTCTCTGCCTGCAACTCCATGTTTGCAGAGAGAGAGAGAGAGAGAGAGAGAGACGTCGGGAGCTTGGAGTAGTTGAGAGCTTTCAATCAAAGAGAGGTCGGGACTGAGAGAGAGACGACGGGAGTTTGAAGACGTCGGAGAGTTTCAATTTGATTTGCAAAGGGGATAGATTTTTTTTATCCCTTTAGAATAATATAATATTTATTAAAAAAAATTTCAAATTTTTATAATTATAATTAAATTAATTACGAATTAATAACTAAAACTATATAATTTAAGGGTGAGATTGTCATTTAGAAAATATTTAGCCTGATGAGACAATAAGTGAATCAAATTAACCTAAGAGGACAATGTCTAAAGCTACTTGGTTTAAGAAAAATTATTTTCTCAAATAGTATTCGTGCTTAAAAAGTACGGATGCTTAAAAAGTGCGGATCAAAAGTCTAGTGAGTATTTATTTTGGAATCATTTTAGAAAATAGCTCACAAGTTATTTATTCGATACTGGTGAGGACGTGCCATGTGCTGAGTTTCCGATTTTTAAAATTACGTCTTAAAAGGATTCTTCCCCACCCAACTATATTTGAGCGAACGTGCAATTCATTTGTCAACTAATGAACAATGCTGTGTAAGGTGAAGTATATATAGCTGAAAATAAAATATGATCAATATATTTTTAACTAGTAGGCGGGCCGGATTATATATCTTATTTTCTAATGAATTCAAAATTGTTTCTGATCCATTTGATAGTGATCAGTAACAATAGTATATTACTTTGTTTTGATGTTGTTCAAGTCAAAAAAGAATAGCATAAGTAATTTTCACTGATCGATTGAATAAAAAAGAATAAATAGTTGATAATGTGCTAAAGAAAATATAATTAAACTTACTCAAAACATTAAAAAAAAAATGATGTTTCGAAAGAAAAACATATAAATACATGTTACATGTTTTGGATGTGGCAATTCGTTAGAGATTTCATAATAGACATCTCATATATATTAAAAGAGAAGTATTACAACATTTGAGGTAATCACGTGTCATTACCATAATGAGTTTCAAAATCTTAGAGAAATAAGTTAGTCTATCAAAATATATAATAAGCATTTTATTAAACTAATCATAAATTCATCATTAATATTCTTCAGTCTTTTCTTAAAAATTTACGGAATTACTTAATATGGCTAAAGTATATATGGAATTAATAACTTTGAATAATAAATATTTGATAAAATAAATAAAACAACCACATTAACCATATAATAAAAATTTATATTTTTCGTATTTTTATATTTTTTATTTTTTTCAAACAGCTTTAAATTATCAAAACTGTGAAAACTTTCACATTCAAAATTTGTGATCTATTACTAAAAATTGGTTAAATACTTTATTTTGGTTATGGTTTTTTCCCGGGATATTTTCAGGTTAGGTGGCTTTTGTAAGGTTTCCTCTCATAGTTTTAGTAATGATACTAACATGATTAGCAGAAAAACAAATCTTATATATATTATTATATCATAAACAAATTTTTTTATATCTTTGTAATAGTAGCAGGTGATACATTTGTTAGTAAATCATATATTTATTTCAGTATTAAAATCATTCATAATGTAACAGAAAATAGTTTACGTTCTTACATTCGTAATCATATATTTTGTCGTTTTCTAACTTATTTATTTCTTTTAGCTTTTATGTTTAGTTAGTCTTGAGCTATTTTGATGTTTTTATTGAGTCAACCAAAATTTTCTGGGAATTAGAACCTTATTTTTTTATGTTTATTAACCACCTTCGTACTTTAGTTATCTTATTCAGTGACCATAGCAGTGGCGACAGACACACATGTGTGGACTCGGAACACCCTAACGTTACGTCATCTTGTTCTTCATAAGCTTTCGGCTTGTAGAGATTACTCTGGAAAGACTTAACTCCATTTAACTTGAATCTAATCTTGACTGCAACTCTTTTTGTCATGGGCGTTATATTAAGGTAATGAGATCACACTCTTGACTTCTTATTCTTTCTATCCATCTTGTTGATCCTAAGTGACTAGATCATTATTAGCTAGTACCACCTTGAACCCCTAAGCCTTTATTCCACCCTCATGCATTTGTTTTCAGTATCTTGTGTGCAGATATGTGCAAAAGGGCCGGAGAGAAAAGGATCGACGCAGCCTCTTACTCATTACTGCAGAAGGAGAGTGTTCTAGGAGGAGAACATGCAAGAATAAGGAAGCAACTGTTCCAGCCTAAGAGAGCAAGACAAAGAGAAACCGGAATCAGTGTGAAATCAGTACCACCAGTGGCACATCCGCAACCATCATGTTACCTTCTTCTTCGTCACCATCACCATCAGTATTTTTATTTCTATCCAAAAAAACTCATTTTCATCATAATAAGGTGATGGAGGAGGGGAATATCACAAAGAAACAAGAGCCACTGGGAAGGTCAAGTGAAAGAATGGGTACCAAGTTCAAAGAACGAAGGACATGCAGATGACAGGAGTGACTTTTCCAAAGCAAAAGCAGGTGCCTAATCAGAGTAACTGTGCTAAAGTGAGAACAGGCTAAAACGAGTAGGGGCTATGGACATCAATGGATCTATCCTCTCTTGTAATTTTGTACAATATTATGCATCCTCTACAAAGAAATGGTAACCCCTAAACACTGATTAGCTCCACCTAAACACCTAAAAGGCTTGTTTCATACCTAGACCGTTTATCCTGAATAATGCATGTGATGAGAAGCTCACTCCATTCTTAATTGAATGTAAAGATTTTTGTCTAGAAGGTGTGACTTTTGCAGGTTTGAGATATAGAGTATGAAGCCGGTTTGAACAGTAATCAGCGGGATTTTGGTAAGGGTGTATTGTCAGTGGGAATCAAAATTCGCACTGTCGATTTCCTGTTGAATTAGGAAAGTTAGGAAAACCCTAACTTCCCAGAAGTCCCGGATTCTCTGTGAGAGCCAACAACAAGTGACCAAATTGATGCGGAAAATATGAAAAGATAAAAAACGAATTTAGAGAAAACAGTAGATCTTAGTTCGAATCCTCGTAAGAGCATTGCGATCATTACAAAAGGTTATAAAAGCTTCGGCCCCAAGAGCTGTCAGCGAGATACATAGTTCTAGCAACCAAAAACCCTAAACCTAGTTGAGTCACAGCTCGATAACAAAGGACGAAAAAGACACAAAACAAAGGTTGTGATTGATTTTGGACTAAACCTTATTAAAGGCTGCCTACGTACCCCTTTCGAGGATCAAGCCAAACGTAGTTCGAATAAAAGAGCTGGACAAGAGATTAAACTGCCTGGGCGAGTTCGTCTGGTATTTTTGTACCATACATAGAAACTGAACTTGTCGAGATTAAAGCCTAAGGTTTCTAAGTGCATAGATTTCTAAGTCTAAAAATTTCTCCTCTTGTGTCTCTCGCCTAGGACTCCTTATATACTCCCTCCAAAGTCGGTTTATGCTTTCCCCTTTTACCCTTAAGCCGTCATAGCTCAAAAATGGAGATATTCCATTTTTCCCGATCTTCATGTCGGAAACTTGACATTTATCTTTTCTTTTGGACTGCGTGTAATCCGCCATAGTATTTATGGGAGTGGGATTCTAGTCGCGTTTTAGACCTTTTTGGGCCGGATTTCGACTCGAAACGTTCATTACGGTTTTTCGATTAAAAAAAAAACTTTCCGCAGTTTTTATCGTAAAGTCTAAATGATAACTCCGATCGATAAGAAGTGAGAGGTGGTTCAGACGTGGCCTGCGGGAGATAGTATTAAAGAGTAGACGAGAATGCACGGATTCATGTCGTACTGATTTTTATTAGTTCTATTGATGTTCGGGACAGTCTAGTCACTACATAACAACCTGGCTCGGGATCGGACTGGTCGTGACATAGTGACCTGACCTGAATGGGACCGGTCTCTATGTAGCGACCTGGTCCACATTTAAGATTTTCATTCCTAATGAACTGTCGTCGGTAATTACTGACATATTATTTCCGTCATTTTTTCTTTCAGAAATGGCTATTTTCTTGTAGTGAAAGATATAACCTTCTAGTTGATATTACTCCATTTCTTTCAATAAGATGTATGTTTTAGTATTTTCAAACATATTAAAAAAATTATGAATTTTAAATTACCAATGTATTATTTTTTGTAATATGATATTCCCTATAATTTTTGACCAATAGGATTTTAATAAATGTTTTGAAGTTTATAATTTAAGATTAACTAATGCATTGAAAATATGAAATATAGATCTTTTAGAAAAAAAAATTTTCTACAACGTGTATTATATTGAAACAGAGGGAGTATATTATGTGGTTTGAAGCAAATGTTTTTGTGGCTTTGTTGGGGGAATGAGTCTGCAAAAGGTTTCTAAAAGATGTATGTATCCCTTATATATAAGGAGAAGCATTGCATTTAATGCGTTCATACTACCTTGGCCACGTCGCACTCT